TTATATGGCCCTGTAAGTTATGGTTACAACATCAGATTTACTTTTTCACTTAGTCTGAATACCTCCCACACCCCCAGGCACAATCCTGAACAGAGAGATGAAGAAGGCAGCATTATTGTAAGAATCCAGAGCACACAGAGCATGAAAAGAGAGAAAAAACCCAAGGAAACAAACTCCTTGTAGCACCACTTGCTGGGAAGAACACGGGTAGAGGCAGCTCCAAGGAAGCCGTGGATGCTCGGTCCCATTACGGCCCTGGCAGCAGCAGGGGTGACAGAAGTTTAGGCAGCAGTGCATTGGTAATGGGGAGTGCCTGCCTGACCTGTGAGCATCCCCCTCTCCTTCCCTCCACGCCGGGATTCCAAGGCCACCACAGGCTGGCAGCACCCAGGCTAAGCAGAGGAGGGAAGTGACACAGGGCAGCACCATCCCCACGCACGAGCAGCTGAGCTCAGAGAAGATGAGAGCCCGTGCTGCAACCCCGGCTGTACATCAGAGGTTCATATTTTAACAGCTTTGGCACCACCAGGGCTATCCATCACCAGCTCATTTTCCTCCCTGTGCTGAGCTGCTCCTCTGCTGTCTGGAGCAGTGTCTAATGAGACACCGGAGCACCACCTGGCAGCACGGCTGCCAAGGGACACGCACGGGAAGAAGAATACACACAGGTCTGCACACTGCTGCCAGCCTCCACTGCCCAAAAAGCTCCCTCCCCTCAAGCCTGCTCCACTCCTAACAGACACCAGGGATGCTCTGCCTCCTGGTCCTTCTCCATGTGAGAGAAAGCACATGCTCCTAAGCCATTGCTCTCTCAGAGAACAGAAAACAGAGCACAGCACTGGTGATGTTTTCATGAAGGCTCATCCAACACTACAGTGCTCTTTTTGAGAGGTTGAAGAAAGGACAAAGAAAAAAAAATGAATTGTTTCTAGCCCACAGACAAGCACAGCATAGTCAGAACATAGATGTGGGGCCAGGGATATGCAACATGAGGTGATGCAGTGTTGCAGCACTAAAAACTTGCTGTGAGACTGTGAAGACATAGGCAGACCTGGACAAAGACTCTCGTGGAGCAAGGCAGCCCCAGGACACTTTGGAAGAGAGCCTGCACAGGCTCCAAGTTTTGTTTTTAGTGTGAGCTGACCTGAGTACTTCTGACTTGTTCTCAGTGAGCAGTGCCCTGTCACTGGGCAGCAGAGCCTAAAAGTAACTTTGCCCACGTCTCACAGGAGCCACAAGCCTGGTCTGAAAGCAGCCGAGCTGAGGCATGGCTCTCAGCAAAGCTCATCAGCTAAACACAGGGTGAGCCCTCAGGAAAAGCCAGCCCTGTGTGACACCCTGTGCAGCGTGCCGGGACACTCACTGCGGGGACACGAGCAGCAGCATTCCTGCACGGCAAAGGATGGGCCCTGACACGGGAAACGTGAAAGGAACAGCGTGGGCAGGCTCAGCGCAGAACTCCCTCATTCCAACAGCAACCTCCTGCTTCTGCACCACCTGCCACGTCTCTGGGGATGTGCAGGGACCTAGCAAGAGCAATGTGAGCCCGGTGCCCAACTCCGTTCTCCAGGTCTTTGCTGCGGTGCGGGGAGAGGGGGATGTGACACGAAGCGGGATGCAAAAGTGGAGTACTGGAGAACCAAGCACCTACACCTTTAAATCCTGACTCCAGGGCTCACCCGGCGCTCGATGCTCTATCAGACATCTGCAGGAGAGAGCCGCTCTCCTCACATAAATCAGCGCCTTATGCACACAGCGCCGGCCGAGAGCCGGGCTGCGGCGAGCAAGGGGCACGGTCCGAGCCGGCAGCAGGGAAGGATCCGAGATCCGGCAGTCAGACAGACCCATCTCCAGGGCAGGAGGGGAACTGCAGCTCCGCGCTCTCCTCGGCCTGCCGTCCGTCCCTCAGGGCGCACATCCCGGCTGCCGGGGCCGCTGGAAGGGGAACGAGCTGCAGCGAGCGCGTCAAGCAAGCGGGATGCAAAAGTGAACCAAGCACCTACACCCTTAAATCCTGACTCCAGGGCTCACCCGGCGCTCGATGCTCTATCAGACATCTGCAGGAGAGAGCCGCTCTCCTCACATAAATCAGCGCCTTATGCACACAGCGCCGGCCGAGAGCCGGGCTGCGGCGAGCAAGGGGCACGGTCCGAGCCGGCAGCAGGGAAGGATCCGAGATCCGGCAGTCAGACAGACCCATCTCCAGGGCAGGAGGGGAACTGCAGCTCCGCGCTCTCCTCGGCCTGCCGTCCGTCCCTCAGGGCGCACATCCCGGCTGCCGGGGCCGCTGGAAGGGGAACGAGCTGCAGCGAGCGCGTCAAGAGTTAGGAACGTTTCTCCATTGCCTCCTCGGAGATAAAGGTCTGTAAGTTAAAGCTTTGAACTGCCTCCGCAGAAACTGATTCGTTGTAGAAAATGAGGCACCCCCTTTACAGCTCATTAAAAGAGCCTGTAGGTGATACATCAGGCAAACAAGTGATAAACTTTTGATACATCAGGCAAACTTCACCAGATACTAAGGAGCTGCTAATGACGTTTTAGCAAGCGAAGATTAAGATCTCCACGCGCCTGCTGTTGATAGGAGGTGGTTGTAACCTTGCCCCTTTCAACACCCTCTGTAACCAAGTACCTAACTTGCCACAGGGGCTGCAAAATTTACAGAACATCTAAGTCTTTGTTGTCCTTCGCTGTCCTGGCTGCTCCTAGGAGGATTTTCATGCCCGCCGCTGCTGGCCGGGCTGCGTGGTTCTGCTCCCTCTCTGGCTTGCTGCCGGCTCTCAGAGGGAGCTCACCAGGGGAAGACCCATCACACCCAACACAGATCTCCCCATTGCACTCTGTAAGCCAGCTCTGGACCTGTGGCAGTGGTCTCCCCTTTCCTGTGCTTTTCACAATTATTCTTAGCATTTTCCGTATTTTCTATTTTCTTTGCTTTTCTCCCTTATGAAGAAAAAAAAAAAGTTTAATGATCACTTTGTTTTCCAACATCTAACCTCATTTATGTTTTAATCTCACTTGCAGGTATGTTTAGAAGCTAGCTCCTTTCCACAATTGTGGATCAAGGCAAAACTTGCCTCTCCTCACCTCAGGTGGATCAGAACTCCAGCACAGACACCTGGCAGTAGAACAGACTCAGCAGGGAGAGGAGCTGCTCACCTGCTCAGCCTCTCACTCTCTGGCTGGACTCTCCCCAATCTGTGCATGCAGCTGAGCATCCCCACAGCTCTCTGCCCCTGCTGCCTCTCCCCACAGCACAGCCACCACAAGGGCTAGAGGCAGGAAAAGAGCTGCAGCCCACACCTCTGCTCAAGCCCAGCTCTGGCCTGCAGGCCAGACACAACGAAGAGATCACTCTCCAATGCTGTCAAAAGGAAATGAGCACCCAGCACAGCCCTTGGCTCTCTCCCCCAGCCAGCCCCACTCTATTGCAGCAGGGACAGAGCTGAAGGGGAGATGCTCAGTGCTGCTGCCTCCTGTGCACTCCCTAGAAGCATCAGGTACATCCAGGCTGGCCCCCATCAGAGATCAGCATCTGTCACAGCTCATGAGACTCAGCAGCACCTCACAAGCTGGAGAAACCCAGGACTGCCCCGTTTACTGCCACCTTAAAACTTGACACAGCTCTGGTTCCTCCTGCTACTCCTACCCTGATAGTGGCTGTGAAGATAGGACATTAGAACCAGGCATCAAGTGCCAACCTGAAGCTGACAAAAGGCACTGCAACAGGTTGTCCAGAGAAGTTGGATGCCCAAGCACCCAAAGCCAGGTTGGACAGGGCTTGGAGCAACCTGGTTTGGTAGAAGGTGTCTCTGCCTGTGGCAGGGAGGTGGACATGGATGGGCTTTAAGGTCCCTTTGAACTGAAACCGTTCCATAATCTCCTCCCAGGATATGGACCATGTGTTTTCTTCACTGCACCACAGACCCTGAGGCAGCACCTCTGTGCAGGAGCCCAGGACAGCCCCCCACACCCCAGGAAGGAGCTGTACAGGGCAGTACAGACAGCAGGTGCAGTACAGGGCAGCCAAGCCACCCAGCACAGGGTCACGGCTCTGCACACAACTCTCAGCCCTGGGGTTGCCCCCGCAGAAGAAAAGGGCCCATGCTGCCTTCAGGGCCCTGGATCCCTCCTGTGGGAAGCACTTGGGGATACAAGGAAAGGCAGTGAGGGCCAGTCATTAATGATGGTCCGAGGCAGAACACCAGCCCAGTCCTAGCCCAGTTTGGAGCCCTGCAAGATAAAGTTCTCTTTAAAGACACTGGAAGCAAGTAGAAATGATGGCCAAGTGTCTAGAAAGAAAACTGTTTTTCCTATCAGTGAAGCTCATTTTGCTTCAGTTCTGCCTATCCCAGAAAAGGAGAAAGCTTTCACCAGAAGGAAAAATAACCAAAAAACCCCACAACAAAAAAACCCCACAAAACCAACCAAACCTAAATTAAACAACAGCAATAACAAATAATACACAAAAACAGCTAACAAGGAAACACTCTCATTCCCACAGCCCACCAGAAAAAAAATCTCCCAACCAAAGAACTACAGCTTTGAAAATAGTTTATAAACATTCAAAGAACCCTTGACCCAGTGCTAATTTCATCCTATTGACCCAGGGAGATTTAGCATCTACTCTGACCAGTATAAAATGCTAACTTGGGCAGAAAGATCCACCACAGTTAGGAAGCAGTTGAAGAACAGCAGGAAAGTCAAAAACAGCAGAAGTTTTTAGCAGTCAGGAATCTGACAGCCATAATAAGGAGTTGGGAGAACTGCAGAGAGCCCACTATGCTTCCCACAATGACCCCAGCTTTGCCCAGGCATACCCTGTGGTCCCTGCTCCTAGTTGCAATGGTTGTTTTCAAAGAACAGCTGTTCTTCCAGCCCTCCCAAACAATCCCCGTGGCCACAGTTTAAACTGCCTCACAATTTGCGATGCAAAGATCAAAGACACAACCTGTATTTCTATGCATTTTTTATTTGCAGGCAGACAACTGAGGCTTTGCTTTTTCAGCTGAAAAGACCAAGCACTTTTGCTGCAGGGCTGGTCTCTCGCGGCCCGGGCGGTCACTTGCTGCTGGTGTACTTGGTGACAGCCTTGGTGCCCTCTGAGACCGCGTGCTTGGCCAGCTCCCCGGGCAGCAGCAGGCGCGCGGCCGTCTGCACCTCGCGGCTGGTGAGGGTGGCGCGGCGCCCGTACTGCGCCAGGCGCGAGGCCTCGGCCGCCAGCCGCTCCAGCATGTCGTTCACAAAGGAGTTCATGATGCTCATGGCCTTGGAGGAGATGGCGAGGTCGGGGTGCACCTGCCGGGTGGGAACCAACACCGGCTGGAAATCACACACCCAGCGCCCAGCCCTGACAGGGCACCCTGACTGCCGCCCTGAGGCTTTCAAATCGTGGGCCACTTTAAACTCAGGATAGGCTCTCATAAAGTGTAGGAGTTTGGGATTGCACTGGCAGAACCCTCCTCACAATCCCTGTGAAAAACATGGCTGTGAGGGATGGAAATACTCCCATCTCCAAGTCCTATTTACAGGCTCATGCAGACAACAGTGGCCTAGCAAACTCATGGCCACTTCCAAAAATGCTCTCATCTCCCCATCAAAAATCACCAGACATCCACTCACAAGGCCAGAGGCAGCTATTTCTACTGTACTGACTTGCATGAAATTACTTCTTTAGGCAGAACTAAGCATCAGAGCTCATTCCCTCTGGGAAACACTTTCTGCTCTGGATCCATCTCTATTACCCCTAGAATCCACCCCCTCAACTTCTAAGCTCCAGCTGGGGCTCTATTGTACCTGCACCTACACTGTTTTTTCTTTCCCCATCTCTCCAGAAACCCAGATTTTTTCTTCCTTGCTCTTTATGATGCTAACATACAACAAGCAGAAGTTACTTTATGTACAAAGCAATTTCTAGCAGAAAAAAAACATTTACTCACCTGTTTCAGTACTTTGTAAATATAGACTGAAAAGGTTTCCTTTCTCTTCGGCTTCCTCTTAGATCTTTTTTCCCCAGGAGCAGCAGCATGACCATGTTTCTTCAAAGGTTCTGGGCTCATCTTTACCTCCAACAGAACAGGCAGCAGGTGCTGTGGGGCTGGTTATATAGCACAGGCAGCAGGACCTAACCTGCCTCAGTTGCAGCCCCCAAGAAGCAGGACAAGTGCACACCTGTGGCTGGTGATTCACTTTGCACTAAATGAAAAGCAGCTGGCCTGAGAGCAGCTTGGAAGTGACAGATTCAGCTAAACTTTCAGAAATGTGAGTGTAGCTGGGGCAAAGAAGGGCAAGAGCAGAAACATCTGATTTACAGGGGACAGAATTACCAGAGAAGAGCCATTCCCAGGTCCAAAAGGAGTTTGGTGAAAGGAGGGATCTTGCTTTGGTGCATGGCTGTGAATCAGAGTACTCGAGGTACTCCAGAATCAAATGGAATCACATCTGTTCTATGGAACAGGTAATGCCATCAGGGGAAACTCAGTAACTGCAGGGAGCATTGGTCCAGAGATTAAATGATGGCACTGTAAACATCCTGCCAGCCAAATTTCTCCTGCTAGCTAGCCTGCTCTTGGGATGCCACCTACTGCCACAACAGGGCCTGGAATGTCAGGAGGGAGGCAGTGGAGGGCTGACACCCCAGGTGTGGATTTGACTTGTCTTGGAAATCAATGATTACACTAATGAGGGTAAATGTGACACAGGATTTAAGCTTAGCCAGGAAAAACGTGCAGTAGCACAGCAGAGACATGAACAAAACAGAGTTTTCTGTACTTTGGAGAGAAAAGAAAGCCTTTCAGCAGACACCACTACAGCCATTTCATAAAAGGGTGATGCCAGTATACTTGTATGGTGGGAGAACACACCTTGTTTGGTGGGGGTCTCTTTGCTGACATGTAGAACCTCCTGCTCAGGTGCACACCATACTGGCACATCCTGAGCAAATCACATCTCCCAAAGAAGGAGCTTGGGAGGCCTGCTCACCATCAGTCAGTGATTCTGCTACTGCTTGTGTGTCACTGAATTGCTTTATTCTCAGCCTGTTCTCATGGGGACACCCAGTGCAAATAACAGTCACAGTGACAAGGGGGGCAGTGCCACAGCGAGGCTCCCGGAAACTGAAACGTGACTGATCAGGCAGTGCAGGCTGCAATGGTCGTGACGGTGTGTTTGTGAAGATACGTGGCAGCGGGATCCTCCTGAAACAGGAGTGACTAATACTGGCAGCGAGGAGCAGGGGACATCGCCACTCGTGCTTCGTAAGGGGCGCTGTGTTGTCAGGAGCAGTGCAGGGCTCCCCTCGGAGGGACATCCCACCCTCCGTGTAACGGAGCTGTGTTTCCTCGGTCTCAGGGTCTCGGGTCACAGCATGCAGGGCTTGTGCTGGAGGAGCCGGGGGCTGTTGTATCCCTCCCCAGCTACCGCCCTGTTCGTGATACACCGTGTTACACTGTGATAAACACACAGCTGTCTTTTCTTAAAAAACCCGTTTAGTTGGAAGGGAGCCTGTTGGCGGAGGAGCAGCAACTGCTCACTCAACACTAGGCACAGGCAGTCTTTACACACCAAGGATGGAGGCTCGGCTACGGAGCAGGACAGTCAGCTTTGGACCCTCAGGTTTGGAGAATTACCATCTGCTTCCCTGCACTGCGTGTGCTAGAGGCTGTACCCGCTGCTGTGCTGGGTCTGCCTCATCCTGCTGCTGGTTTTGTGGCGTGTGGATCCACTTGCAGCACACACACAAGGGAACGCCACAAGCCTGCACCTGCCACATCTGGCTGTGTTAGAGCCAACCCTTCTTTTGGATGACAGACAAGTCTGACTGTGCAGGTGCTGGGTCACTTTTACAGAAATGACCATCCTAGCATCTGAGGAGCAATTATTGTAATTTATTGATAGTTTTGCTTTTCTGCAAAACCAGAAAATTCTCAGCTGAAGCAGCCTGAAGTGGCACTGCCTCAGCTTGTTACTGTCTCTGAGATCAGTGCTCCAGGACATCTGTCTGCCACAGCTGCTTCAGCACAGCCCAACACACTGCCACCACAGAACAAACTCAGGTTAAATCGAGCTGTTAAAGCACATTTATGGATTCTATTTTACAAGTCCTGGTCTACTGTGACCTCTAGTACAGCTGCAGCTTCTTTTGCTTCAAACATGTGTCTGTGGACCTTGTTTATACATCAGAGACATCTCTGCACCTGGGAAGTTCCTCTCTCTTTGCAGCAGCAGATAGGTAACAGCTCTTCCTGGCTCCAGGAGCTGCAACAATGCTCCAACTACTGGAGCTGGCTGTCATCCCAGCATCCCCAGGCCATTCTCGGGATTTACCATTCCCAAAGAACTCAGGGTAAGATTGTATCCTCCATGTATTACCCGCAGATCTGAAATGCAGTGAAACGAATTGCTGCCAAATCTTTGGTAAGGAAAAAAAGGTATAGGACAAACAGCTCTAGCTTCAGTAAGGACTCTGACACCTCACCATTCTCAGAGCTACTTCACAACCGTTTCCAACTCACCAACACTTTCTACAACCCAGAGAGCAGAACAAACAGACCTGCATTAATCTATTATTGTTTAACTTGTGACCCATCAGTCTTTTGAGTAATCAATTCCCTGTGAGTTTTCACAGCCTTGCTCTACCTGACAACTTCCAAGTCCTCCACTGTGAGATATTCATCCAGGTGACATTTACTGCCATCTAGACCTTTCTGCAGAACAAACTTGGAAGCACTTATACTAACTGGCATTATTTCCCCAGAAAACATTATTTTTCTCCTCTCAGGTCATTGCTAGAACCAATAAAAACCTGAAGGGTCCTATTTAATCCACTGGAAGCAGCTTGTATTGTGACATTTGTCCTGTGGATGACACTCAGTGCTTCCACAGCAGCAGTCACAATTTGCATGGGCCCTTTGGGAAAGAAAAATAAGGAAAGACTCTACTCAAAAAGTTAAAGCCAGTCAGCTGCACCAAAGAATGCTCTGCATGGGAGCACAACTCCTTTGTTTGTCCTTTCATCATCAGTCAGTGATTCTGCTACTGCTTGTGTGTCACTGAATTGCTTTATTCTCAGCCTGTTCTCATGGGGACACCCAGTGCAAATAACAGTCACAGTGACAAGGGGGGCAGTGCCACAGCGAGGCTCCCGGAAACTGAAACGTGACTGATCAGGCAGTGCAGGCTGCAATGGTCGTGACGGTGTGTTTGTGAAGATACGTGGCAGTGGGATCCTCCTGAAACAGGAGTGACTAATACTGGCAGCGAGGAGCAGGGGACATCGCCACTCGTGCTTCGTAAGGGGCTCTGTGTTGTCAGGAGCAGTGCAGGGCTCCCCTCGGAGGGACATCCCACCCTCCGTGTAACGGAGCTGTGTTTCCTCGGTCTCAGGGTCTCGGGTCACAGCATGCAGGGCTTGTGCTGGAGGAGCCGGGGGCTGTTGTATCCCTCCCCAGCTACCGCCCTGTTCGTGATACACCGTGTTACACTGTGATAAACACACAGCTGTCTTTTCTTAAAAAACCCGTTTAGTTGGAAGGGAGCCTGTTGGCGGAGGAGCAGCAACTGCTCACTCAACACTAGGCACAGGCAGTCTTTACACACCAAGGGTGGAGGCTCGGCTACGGAGCAGGACAGTCAGCTTTGGACCCTCAGGTTTGGAGAATTACCATCTGCTTCCCTGCACTGCGTGTGCTAGAGGCTGTACCCGCTGCTGTGCTGGGTCTGCCTCATCCTGCTGCTGGTTTTGTGGTGTGTGGATCCACTTGCAGCACACACACAAGGGAACGCCACAAGCCTGCACCTGCCACATCTGGCTGTGTTAGAGCCAACCCTTCTTTTGGATGACAGACAAGTCTGACTGTGCAGGTGCTGGGTCACTTTTACAGAAATGACCATCCTAGCATCTGAGGAGCAATTATTGTAATTTATTGATAGTTTTGCTTTTCTGCAAAACCAGAAAATTCTCAGCTGAAGCAGCCTGAAGTGGCACTGCCTCAGCTTGTTACTGTCTCTGAGATCAGTGCTCCAGGACATCTGTCTGCCACAGCTGCTTCAGCACAGCCCAACACACTGCCACCACAGAACAAACTCAGGTTAAATCGAGCTGTTAAAGCACATTTATGGATTCTATTTTACAAGTCCTGGTCTACTGTGACCTCTAGTACAGCTGCAGCTTCTTTTGCTTCAAACATGTGTCTGTGGACCTTGTTTATACATCAGAGACATCTCTGCACCTGGGAAGTTCCTCTCTCTTTGCAGCAGCAGATAGGTAACAGCTCTTCCTGGCTCCAGGAGCTGCAACAATGCTCCAACTACTGGAGCTGGCTGTCATCCCAGCATCCCCAGGCCATTCTCAGGATTTACCATTCCCAAAGAACTCAGGGTAAGATTGTATCCTCCATGTATTACCCGCAGATCTGAAATGCAGTGAAACGAATTGCTGCCAAATCTTTGGTAAGGAAAAAAAGGTATAGGACAAACAGCTCTAGCTTCAGTAAGGACTCTGACACCTCACCATTCTCAGAGCTACTTCACAACCGTTTCCAACTCACCAACACTTTCTACAACCCAGAGAGCAGAACAAACAGACCTGCATTAATCTATTATTGTTTAACTTGTGACCCATCAGTCTTTTGAGTAATCAATTCCCTGTGAGTTTTCACAGCCTTGCTCTACCTGACAACTTCCAAGTCCTCCACTGTGAGATATTCATCCAGGTGACATTTACTGCCATCTAGACCTTTCTGCAGAACAAACTTGGAAGCACTTATACTAACTGGCATTATTTTCCCAGAAAACATATTACTTTTCTCCTCTCAGGTCATTGCTAGAACCAATAAAAACCTGAAGGGTCCTATTTAATCCACTGGAAGCAGCTTGTATTGTGACATTTGTCCTGTGGATGACACTCAGTGCTTCCACAGCAGCAGTCACAATTTGCATGGGCCCTTTGGGAAAGAAAAATAAGGAAAGACTCTACTCAAAAAGTTAAAGCCAGTCAGCTGCACCAAAGAATGCTCTGCATGGGAGCACAACTCCTTTGTTTGTCCTTTCATTCACCCGGGCACTTGTGCTGCCAGATGGGCTGCTGGGCTACACAAGCCTCTCCTCTAACCAGTGCTTCTCATGTGTCAGAAGAAATTAAAACAATGACTCACGATCAAAAATAGCTATTAGGTTCAATTTGCTACTTATCTTTCTCTTTAGTACCCTTTATTCCAATACTAAATTAAAAATGTATTTTATTCAAGCTTCTGTGGCTCAGGGTGAGGTTTGAACACCAACTTTTCCAAGAATCTGTAATTGAG